CCGCCAGCTACGACAGGGGCTGAGCACCCTGATCCAGGCAGGGCTGGTCCTGCCATGTCAGCGACCAAGGGCTCGAGGGGGAACCGAAACTCGCTCTGCCCCAGCTGCGAGTCGCTTTTGACTCGGGGAGATGCTCAGGTCCTTCCCCGTGCAGCTCTGCAGTAAACACCCGCCTCTCACGGCCTTTACACCTCCCAGGTCATCTTAAAATAAAAAAATGCTGCGGCTTGAGGAGATGCCAGCTGCGTCAGCGGGAGCTTGGGCAGTTTCTTGCACCCCTGCCCTGCCAGACGAGGAGCTCTGCCTGCATCGGGCAGCCTGCCTGGGCCGGGCAGGGTGCAGGCAGGAGGGTGGGAACGGACCAGGGGCACCCAGGGGTGGGAAAGAAACAGCCACGGTGGGAACCGCAAGAGCACGGAGGGTTTTTGGTGACCACGCTGGTTTTATTGAGCAAGGAGAAGAGGTTTCTCACCGCTTTGGGACGCCGGTGCCGAGGACCCGCAGCCCTCTGCGTCCTCCCAGCAGCTAACCCCGGCCAGCCCCACCGGAGGGACCTTTGGATGGTCCACAGAGGTTTGGGGGAGGCAAGGCTGCTCCCCAAAGCTGACCGTCTCAGCCCAGAGCTGGGGGGGGTGTTAGAGGGCCGTGCTGGCCGGCCCCTGGCCCGGCACCTTGGCCTCGCGCGGGTAGTACTCGGCCAGGATGCTCTCGGGGATGCGCTTCAGCAGCTGCTTGGGGAAGATGCGCAGCAGCTGCCAGCCGATGTCCAGGGACTCGAAGATGCTCCGGTTCTCATAGGGACCTGGGAAGAGATGCAGACAAGGGAGGCGCAGGAGCGGGGAGATGTCGGGGGTCCGGTCCAGTCCCGAAACCCCCTCCCGGCTCCGGGGCTGGGGTCCGGCCGCCCGCCTCACCCTGGGTGATGAAATGCTTCTCGAACTTCTGCAGGAACTCCAGGTAGAGCAGGTCGTCAGGCGAGAGCGCCTCTTCCCCCACCACCGCCTTCATCGCCTGCACGTCCTTCCCGATGGCGTAGCAGGCGTACTGCGGGCCGGGCGGGCGGCCGTCAGGACAGACGGACGCTCCGTTTCAGCCGGAGCAGGGGCAGCAAGCGCAGGCTCCCCCCTGTCCGGCTTCGGGAGCGGCTTAGGGAAACGCCAGCCTTTGCTCGGCCGTTTGCTGCCCCGTTGTGTCACCCTGCGCCTCGGGGACACCCCGAGCAGGGTCTGCACGCCCGGGCTCGGCCTGGGTGACCAGGCACTTTTCAAAGGCCCCTGCTCTCTGCAGCATCCGCAATTATACTTATATATAATTATATTATATATAATAATATATGCTGCATGGAAAAAATCCTGCCTGCTGTCAGCCTGGGATTCTTGCAGCAGGACAAGCTACAGCTCTGCCCACCCTCTGGGGCTTTGGCATCCCCCGGGCTTCCCACTTCCCAGGGCAAAGCATCCCACCCCCTTACCCCAACACCTCCTCATGTCGAGGAGGTGCCGAAAATAAGTGCTGGAGTCCATGATGGCCAAGGGCAGCAAGATCTCAGCCCCAAGCAGGGGGAGGAGGGCTTTGAAGTGACAAATGATCCCGCTCCCCCCTCCACGTCACTCTCCCCCTCCTGCCCAGCCCTTACCAGCTGGTTGGAGACATCCCCGTGGTCCTTCCTGGTCATGCCCTCCCCGATGGCCGACTTCATCAGGCGGGAGAGGGAGGGCAGCACATTGATGGGGGGGTAGATCTGCAGAGCGAGAGGCACCCCCCACCACTACGTTCGCCTGCTGCCAGCCCTGCTGGCCCCCCCCGCGCAGGCAAGGGGACCGCTGCCCTCACTTCGGGCTCCCCCCTGCCCTCAGCACTCCCCACCCCGGTGCTCTCGGTCGGTTGCCAGCCCCACGCAATGCCAGCGGGCACGGCGGTGCCGGATCCATCCCTGCTCCGGTGCGGCACGGGGCCGGGAAGGGACACGGGAACGAACCTGCCTGTTGTGGAGCTGCCGGTCGACGTAGATCTGCCCCTCGGTGATGAAGCCCGTCAGGTCGGGGATGGGGTGGGTGATGTCTGGGGAAAGGCGGGGCGGTGTGAGCCCCAAAAGCACATCTGGCTGCTCTGCAGGGCCCGGGACGTGGCCGTGCCCCACGCCGGGGGGTGACGGAGCAGCGGGGCCGGGGAAGCTGCCCCAGCCTGCGGCTGTGAGCAAGAGCCGGCTTCCCCCATCACCTGGCAGAGAACTGCCTGTTTTAGACTTGCTCGTGTGCGCACGCACCCGTGGGCGCACCCGTGCCTGCACGCACCCCCAGGCACCCCAAGTCCGAGTCCCCCCCAACCACATCCTTCGGCTGAAACCCAGCACTCTGCTCCAGCTGGGGGAGCCCAGAGGGACAACATGGGGGGAAAAATAACCCCGAAGCATCCCAGCAAGCTTCGCTACCCCGACGGATCCCACGAGCTCCCCCAAAACTTGCTAAAACAAAACAATTTGGCATCTCCCGGCCCTGTGGTTTCCCGGTGCGGGCACAGCAGTGGCACCGCACACCCCCCGGAGCCCCCCGGGGCCCCCCCCCCGGGGGCGCGGCA